TCTTGTGTTTCCCTTCTTTTTTTTACTCTTTTCCCCTCCCCTTCACTGACACTTCCGGCATGTACTGCACGAGGACGGGGTTGTGGCGTTGGATGTGGTGTTTTGATCTACATAGTTCTTTTTTTAAAAAAAAAATTTGAAAAAATTTGGTGATAATGGACATTGATTTTCTTTCTCCTTCATAGTGTGTTGTGTTGCCCTTGATTGGTCTTACCCCTGACACCAGGCAGAGTACTTGACCCACCCTTCTGAAAGGCTGGGGGTTCAGTCTTTATGATCAGCATTGAAAGATCCACTGTGAAGGACTCGTCTAAAGTGATCAATCATGATGTGACTAGAGAATGTCCAAGGATGACTGTGTAGTATTATATAACATACCTAGGTAGAGGGGTGGGTACATTAGGTTATATGTCTACTCCGTACAAGCATCTATAATTATGTTCTAACTACTCTAACTAGTTCACTATGTAAATATAGATATATGCAGGGAGTAGTATATTAAGGGGATAAGGGATAAGACACTCTCGAATGTTCTTATTGTTCTAGGCTATGCTGTATTCAGTGTAGATCGAAGGCGTGCGTGGACTGAAGTACCATACCTTGACATTACAGCTGCGGAGGCGCGAAAAACCGGTCACAGACTGTAATGTACACGTGTATTACACACAATGTCTCTGCCTGCACATATGCTCTCCAGTCTCACCTTTCCCATCTCTTGCATTCTACATTCTCTCCATCTCTTCATCTTGCATTATTATCAGACTACAGGTGAATTTCCTCCTGTTTTCCACTTTGAATCATTTGTGGGTTGGGGGATGATCCACCATCCGGATTCTCGACTCACTCCACACTTTCACTCGAACCGTTAAACCTTTCTCCATTCAACATCGGCCCATGCGACGCCCTCCGCTACCTCCTTCGTTCCTTCGATCGTTCACCTACCCTTCAATCTTTGTGCTGACAGCTCCACAATGCGGTGGCGGCTGCCGGGCGTCCGTTCGACACTGCCCGCCAGTGTCGCACTACTCCTTCTCCCAACTCTGGTCGCTCCGCTGCAGCAATCAGACGCCCATGACCCTATTTCTCGAGTCTCCGTGCCACTAGCACAAGAGTCATCAAAACAACATGCAGCCCATGTGGCCGCACCATTCATCGTGAAACCCAACGATGCGAGCGCCCTTGCTACTCTGGCTCTGGCAGGCTCCGGCCGTGCCGTTCGAGCCCCTCCTGTCCAAGCCAGCAGCACCACTGCGGGCTTGGCTTCGCCGCTTCACGCGCGGTCCTTGCAGGACTGGGAGGTTGAGGATTTTGTGCTGCTGGCGACCGTCGACGGAACAATTCACGCCCGTGATCGCAAGACCGGGACTGCTCGCTGGGCCCTCGAGGTCCCGAGTAGTCCTGTGGTCGAAAGCACATACCACAGAGCGAATCGTTCCAGTTTTGACGATACACAACCCGAAGACGACTTTTTATGGATCGTTGAACCGAGCCAAGATGGCAGCCTATATATCTACAGCCCCGCCCCAGACGCCGGCTTGCAAAAGCTCGGATTAACCGTGAAGCAGCTTGTTGACGAAACCCCTTATTCCGGCACTGAGCCCGCTGTGACTTATACTGCCCGGAAAGAAACTACATTGTACACCATTGATGCCCGGACTGGCAGCATTTTGCGAGTGTTTAGTTCCCGTGGTCCGATTACCGCTGCACCGGAATGCCGGAAGGTGAACGGAGAAGATGTGGACTCCGATGAGTGCGAGTCGACATCTGGTACTTTGGTTCTCGGTCGAGTTGAATATGCCGTCGCCATACAAAATACGGAGACGGGAGATCCAGTTTGCACCTTGAAATATTCCGAGTGGGCACCGAACAACCGTGATATGGACCTACAGAGCCAGTACTACAAGACAATGGATGAAAGCCACATTTATAGTATGCATGATGGTGTTGTGCTGGGATTCGATCACTCACGCATGGATCGCCCCCGCTATACCCAGCGCTTTTCATCTCCTGTGGCGCGAGTCTTTGACGTGGTTCGTCCTGCCAACAAAGATGCACCAGATGCCTCGACCCCGCTGGTCCTGCTCTCACAACCTCTTCAGCCACCGGATCCGGATTATGGATCCCTTGATGATGAAAGGGACATGCGTGTATTCATCGATTGCACTGAGGCAGGGGGCTGGTACGCCTTTTCAGAGGAAACCTATCCCCTGGCCACCGGCCGCGCCCCAATGGCTCAATGCTATGACAAAGACTTCTTCCACCAGGGGCAAGCACTGATGAGCCTGTCTGCCCGTCAGCAGCGGAATGCGTTGGCCGGTGTTCACTCTCTCACTGGCCCTCGGATCATCCGTCCGCATATTCCTAGAATCGCTGGGCCATCTACTTCTGACCTTTCAAATGACACACCACGAGATATCCTTCGCAGTCCTTCTGAACTGGCGTTGCCTCCCGCCTTGCGAAATAGCGCCATCATTCGCAAGAGCTGGGACAATGCTTTGGATATTGTCGTAACGTTGATTTTACTGTTCATCTGCACATTCATCTACTTCAACTCGCACCACCTTCGCGATTTGGCCAAGCAAAAATTGGACATCAAGAACATCATCAACTCAAGTGATAAGCCTTCTCTCTCTGCCCCTTCCACGCCTGTTGTCGGGGGTGCCCCGGATATCAAGCGTTCATCTACGCCAACCCAACAAGTTCCTAATGTTACGGTAAGTTTAGACTTGGATGATACGTCACCAGATGGTGGATCAACTCCGCGTGCCTCGCGAGACTACGCCCCAGACTCCACCCCGCGGGTGCAGATTCGTGAGCCGTCACGTGGGCCTGATGATGACGACGCCGACGAGGCTGGAAAGCCAAAGAAAAAGCCCCGCGCTCGTGGCTCTCGGGGGGGAAAGTCCCACCGCCGTCGCAAGAAGCCTGGCAGTGAAGGTGATAGCCCTGAGGGAGCTGATCAGGTCGTGGAGCAGGTCAATAACCTAGCCCCCCAGCCTCGACTTGAGCACGATGTTCAGATGGTCCGAACAATTTCGAGCGAGATTATCGAGATGGATGGCGTTGTTCGTATCGGCCGGCTTCAGGTTTTCACTGATGTTGTCCTTGGACATGGTAGCCATGGCACCGTGGTTTACCGCGGTTCGTTCGATGGAAGAGACGTCGCGGTCAAGCGTATGTTAATGGAATTCTATGACATTGCATCCCACGAGGTGGGCCTATTGCAGGAAAGTGATGACCATCATAACGTGATCCGATACTTCTGTCGCGAGCAAGCCACCGGGTTCTTGTATATCGGCCTCGAGCTTTGCCCAGCATCTCTTCAGGATGTGATCGAGCGCCCCGCTAGCTTCCCGGAACTAGTCCAAACTGGCTTAGATCTGCCCGACGTACTACGGCAGATCACCCAGGGTGTCCGTTACCTGCACTCTTTGAAGATCGTCCATCGTGATTTGAAGCCGCAGAACATTCTCGTCGCTATGCCGCGTGGCCGCAGTGTTTCGCGGTCATTGCGGCTCCTTATCTCTGATTTTGGCCTGTGCAAGAAACTTGAAGACAACCAAAGCTCGTTCCGGGCAACCACTGCCCACGCCGCTGGAACTTCCGGCTGGCGTGCCCCTGAACTCCTGGTCGATGATGACGGTCCTATGTCTCTCGCATCGCAACACACCGAATCCTCGGAGCCCGCTGTGGTGGACCCGCAGACAAACCGCCGCGCTACTAGGGCCATTGACATCTTCTCACTGGGTTGTGTGTTCTACTACGTCTTGACCCGTGGCAGCCATCCATTCGACAAGAATGGCAAGTTTATGCGCGAGGCAAACATCGTCAAGGGCCACTTCGATTTGGAGGAATTAAATCGCCTAGGCGACTATGCCTTCGAGGCGGATGATCTCATTCGCTCGATGCTGTCTCTAGACCCTCGCCAACGGTAAGCATCCTTCTTTGCAGAAAGACATTCAACTTACTGACATGAATTCCTAGTCCTGACGCAAGCGCTGTATTGATGCACCCATTCTTCTGGCCCCCATCAGACCGCCTGGCCTTCCTCTGCGATGTATCCGACCACTTCGAATTCGAGCCTCGCGAGCCCCCATCAGACTCGCTGCTTTGCCTGGAATCAGTGGCTGAGCGGGTAATGGGTCCTGAAATGGATTTCCTGCGCTCATTGCCGCGAGACTTCAAAGACAATCTCGGCAAGCAGCGCAAGTACACCGGAGGGCGAATGCTGGATCTCTTGAGGGCTCTCCGCAACAAGCGCAATCACTACAATGACATGCCTGATCATCTTAAGGACAACATTGGCGGCTTGCCCGAGGGATATCTCAATTTCTGGACATACAGGTTCCCCAGCTTGTTGATGAGCTGTCATGCGGTCGTTGTAGAGCTGGATTTGACTCGCAATGATCGCTTCAGGAGGTATTTTGTGCCACCCGAATAGATTTGTGCCCATGGACATTATTTAGAAGGCATATATATAAAAAAAAATACTCAAAAAGCATTTATCTTATCTGTATATTGAAGGTTTCTGAGGCTAGCAATGATCTTCTGCATTTTATAGAACTGTCCAGGAATCCGGGAACATCAGTCCATTTTCATAAGATCCAAGCAGGAATAAAACAGCATGAATGAATTCTTTTCTTATCCTCACTTAACTTAGCAGAAGTGTCTTATACATGGACACCGGCAGATAAGTGGATCGCCGACGTGATTACTTCGCGCCAGTTTCTTCCGCGTTCTGCACTGGTTTTTTTTTCTCCCCACTCACCCTGCACCATTCCATTTGGTGTTTGGCACCTTGTCTGTTTGACAAGACATGCGTGTCTGATAAATTCATATTTCTTAATTCCCTCCCCACCAATAATTACCGCTCCACGCCAGCTCTACCGGTTTTTACTAGCGCCTACCCTCACCTCAACTTCCTCCCACGCGTCATTGCTCGATCCAATTAAAGCCATCGGCTGCATGCGCTTTTACTGCATATTTTATTATTTGACACAATGGTGTTCCTCCGACTTTCAATCAAAGTCTACCCGCGGGAGCAGCTGAGTTCGAACTCGAGCTCCAGCTGGGGCAGGACCTTACTCGGCGGGCGAAAGACCACCAACGATGACTCCAGCCAGGGATCGGCAGTCTCGACGACATTGAAGAAACCTGGTGTCTTCTTGCTTGTCCTTGAGCACCCCGAAGAGGTTTCGCTTGGTGGTCTCGCGGGCATGATTCAAGAACATTGGGCAAAGCTTCACCCAGAGTTGGAGTGAGTATTCATATACTGGACGGATGAGAAACCGACCTCTTCCAGGGTACTGTGATTACTAACTCCGTTCATTAATAGACCGCTTGCGATCAAGAAAATCCTCGACGATACGAAGGAGGACCTCGATCTTTATCCCGACCTGACTGTTGCTGATGTTTGGGTTGACTATGGAAAAGCCCGCACCGATGGCCTTGACCAACGAGGCTCCGTTCGTGTTCTCCAAAAGCCTACCACGGCCGCCCCGGAGCGATTCCCCTCTGTCGATCAGGATTGGGATGCTGCTATCATTGCCTACGAGCGCAAACGTGCTATGAAGGATAAAAAGGAAGAAATGGAGACCCAATTCCCTGCGATTCAAGAAGAAGATGAAGAGAGTAGCGCCCAATCTGTGCGTAGTCACTCTCGATCTATTTCTCAGTCTCACATCCAATGGGAACATTCGCCTGAATCGCCCCAGCATACCAATAATGACCCTCATGTCTCTGCTCGGAAGTCACCAATCGAGCACCGCCATCGTGATTTACCTCTCTCTTCTGTTGAAATTCGCGATCCTGTCAACACTTTCCCACCAGTGAAGTCTACAGGCCCTACAATTGCTGGGACGCCGCCTCCCAGGCGTGAAAGTGAGGAGCTCGGCGAATCTCCATCACCAGCCGAGCGACGAGCATCCAGCATCAGGTCCCAACCGACACCCGCATCTGTAGCTGCCGATTCACCGGGACCGCAGTCTGAGCCGCATAAGCTCGTAAAGCTACCCATTGCGAGCAGTACAGCTAAACGAACAATTACGCAAATGCCAGATGACGCTGAATCCCCACCTATGTCGCCTGCGCCCAAACATATCATTCCCCACCAACAGACGCAATCTACTGAGGAGGCTGCTGCGTGCTCAGGCGATATCGAACCAGAGTCTGCTCCACAACGTATCGTGAAAATACCATTCAAGTCGGGCATGACGAATGGAGTTAACGGACAAGGACACCTGGCGGCAGTGGCTGCTAATATTGTATCTCAATCCCCGCAGAAAAAGCAAGCGGAAACAATAATCGGGATCTCCAGTGAGGAGTCGAGCGAAGAGGAAACCGACAGCGAGGACGACGAGGTTGAAGCGGAGAAGAAGCACGCTAAGCGGGATCAAAGAAAAACAGAAGATCAGACTGGTTCTGACAACTCTGACGGCTCTGACTCTGACTCTGACTCTGAATCCGAGTCTGAGTCTGAGTCCGAATCGGACTCCGAGGCCAGCGAAGAGAATGGACCCAAGGATGAGCCCATCACGCCTCGAATTGATCACTCGATTCCCATTACTGGGGATGTAATTGATCTAGAGGGCGATTTACAGATGGATGGGCCTATTGTAACTAGGAGCTCCCAGTCAGATCACTCGCGTCTTTCGATGTTGAAAACAAACGGTATAACCCATGAGACTCAATCACGCAAGCGGAAGCAGGCCTCCGAAGAACCCACGTCAGTCAAAAAAGCTCGTCAGGGACAGGCCCATCCCTCAACCCGCCCCCCATCTACCCCTCCTCGGTCGGTGCCTGCAGTCGTTGTGCCATCTCAACAGACTCGGCAGTCCATATCGAAGTCGCCATCTGCTCAGACGAGCCCAGTGCGAAAACGAGTCCGTGCACCTTCCTTCTCGAGCCCAGCTCGACAAGCCAGTGTTCGAGAGGAGAACGAAGCGCCCCCCAAACCTTCTCAGTTTGGAATTGGTTTGGGGATTACAAAGAGCCCTCCTAGCAAGCAGCCCGTCAGGTTGAATCCTTCGCAAGAATCCGAGGTAGCATCCACCCAGGACTCCTTTGGTGCACCGCTTTTCCCAACTAGCAACGTGAATCTTGCCGATACGCCTTCTCTTACTTATGTAAACAAACAAACTCCTGCGATTGACAAAACGAAAAAGCTGCAATCCGCTATCCGTGCCAAGGATTCCCCGGCAACCGAGAGGCGATCCGTGTCTTTCGCTGAGGGAGAGAGCCTTGCTTCTAGCTTGGATCCCGCTCCACGCTCCACCCCGCGCAATACTGTGATTAGCAATTCTGCCCCTGCCACAAACACTATCCAGGGGACGCCTTCGAGCGCAACCCCACGAAAGGCCACGTCCAAGGCCAGGCCCGCTCAGCAGCCGCCCACCTCCGCTGTCAAATCCACCCTGGGAACGCCTTCAACATCCACGTCTAGCAAAACCACGCCTAAAGCAAGGGTCAATAAGCAAACACCTAAATCTACTTCCGAAAATGCTCAGGCAACACCATCCAGTAGTCAAGTGGTCTATCCACCTGGCTTTGATATCGAACAGTTGACCCAGCAAGTTGAGACTGAACAGAAGACGAAGGCACAGGCTAAGCTGGACGAGAAAGCACAAAGGAGCAAGGAAGCCGCTGAGAGGTCCGAGATAGAACACAAGCTCCGGGAAAGCTATGATCCCCAGCTTACGATCATTTTAACTGAGATGAAAACCCTATTGAACAAATTGGCCAACTCTAAGCTCGATTACAGCAAGCGAAAGCCGCTCCGCGTCAAGCTTGAAGCCTTGCGCAACGATCTGAAAGTCTGTGAACAGAGGCTGGAGGCGCAAAGGTCCACCCCTCGGGAACCTGTTGCAAAGGCACCAAAGCCAACCCTCAAGGACATGCTGAGCAGCCAGAAGCAGGAACTAGCTGCTAAGCTACGACCTGAACCCAAGTCTGCCCCACCTCCCCGCTCCGATGTGTACGAAGTTCCCAGCTCCGGTGAGTCTGAGTCTGAGTCTGAGTCTGACTCAGACTCAGACTCCAGCAGTGACGATGGTAGCAAGAGTGAGAGTGACTCGGGCGACATCATGCCCAATGGCCAGTCAGTCAAACTACGCAAGCCCTGGGCTCAACGATCCAAATAACATGCACGTTTTGCTTTTTAAGATATCCTATTTTTTTCATGCATACGATGCGTTCCTTTGTTATCTCTATCAACATCGACATGATCCTGTACAGTGTTTTCCACCAGTGTATGATATTAAACCAATGCTGAATACGAAGTTTAATTTCCATGAGAAAAAGTGCGGTTAAATCCAGTTGAGACCAGAGACAGCTAACTTCTGTATAGAATGTTGAATTTGTATATTTCTGTAAAATGTACATCTCAACTCTTATGTTGGTATTTGCATATATGTCTCGGCTGTTGCGTGGTAATAGCCGGCCTTAAGTTCCGGCTCGGGCATGTGTTCTGAAAAACTATAGGACCAACAATCCGATGACCATTCATGGCAATTCCATAGCTTTCCAGCCACTCGGTTATGGGGCGATTCTATCTGATGGCATCATCTTGATATTATTTTGCCATTGCTCCAATTGTGGCATAGCTCCATCTTCAACAATTGGAGCGAACGGTTACACATCGCCAGCATCAACAGTTAGTCGATCAGTCCCCTGAATACATACTCATTCCAACCATTCATTTGCGTTGGTGATCGATAAACTACCCAAAACAATGGCGGCCGTAATGCCCAGGTAAGTATCGCCACCGCACACTGCCAGTCTCTCAATCTAATATAACGCAGCATGGGATACGCGCCGCATCCCAACGAAATGATGAAGGCAGCGCAGTGGATGGGCACACGAACAGTTGAAGTGGGAGTCGTACCCAAGCCCAAGATCACCGAGCCCGAAGACGCCATCGTCCAAATAACCCACTGCACAATCTCCGGTTCAGACATCCACCTATACGAAGGCGAGCTCAAAGACGCAATGCAAAAAGGCGACATCCTCGGCCAAGAAGCAATCGGTCTTGTTGAAGAAGTCGGATCGAATGTCAAATCCCTCAAACCCGGTGATCGGGTCATCATCCTACCCGTCATTTCATGTGGCAACTGCGATTATTGCCAACGACAGGAGTATTCACTCTGTGACAACACAAACCCATCCAAGGAAATGGAAGCCGCGTACGGACACCGGCTCAGCGGGAAGCTGGGATACAGTCGGTTTTGTGGTGGGTATCCAGGTGACCAGGCGGAATACTGCCGCGTGCCGCATGCGGACTTGTCGTGTGTCAAGGCGCCGGAAGATATCGATGCGCGGAAATTACTAGGCCTGACGAACGTCGTTACTACCGCTTGGCATGCGCTGGAGTTGGCTGGCATGCAGGAGGGTGATGTGCTGGGTGTATGGGGTTGTGGGCCTATTGGTCTTACTGTGCAGCGACTGGCGAAGCTCCGTGGGGCGAAGAAGATCTATGCTATAGATAAGGATACACAGCGACTACGGATTGCCGAGGGTTTTGGAATGACTCCTGTTGATGTGGATGCCCATCCTGATGTGGCGGAGTACATTCTGTCAATTGAGGACCATGGCCTTGATCGGTCTATTGAGGCGAGCGGGTACCATAGTTCGCAGGAAGCTGAGTATCCCGCTATGCAGGCGATTGGGCTCGAAAGGGATAGTAGTGATACATTATTGGCGATCATGAAGGCAACCCGTAAGGGTGGTAATGTGGCATTGGTTGGGGATTTCTTCTTCACCACACAGAACTTCCCGATTGGGCCTTTGATGCAGAAAGCGCTGACAGTGCGCGGTGGTCAAACGTGGCCACAAAAGGTAGGTTGGATTCTTTTCTTTCTTTCAAATTGAATTGATAGCTTACCATATGCAGTATTATCCGTTCTTGATGGATATGGTGGTGCAAGGAAAACTCGATCCATCATGGATGTTCACGTATGTGGATGACTTCGAGAACATTCCGGACATGTACCAGAAGCTCTCGCATCATGAGGTTCCAGGCAGACTAAAAGTGTGTTTAGTGACAGCCTTTGGACGCAGCCAACAGATGCAATCCTACAGCGACCTGCCCGTCCGTCGCTCGAGTGTTGATTCTGATATTGAGTAGTCAGCATAGTCAGCAAAATCCCTTGGAAAACCTTAAGAAGCTCTCGATATAAATAGCCGTCTCCCCCGCAAAAATTAGCAACTCCACAATTCTTCATCATGTTCCCCCCACCACCTATTGCGCTTGATTGGAATAACCTGGGATTTAAAGTCCGGGATGGTGAGCGATTGCCCTTTAGTAAACCATAGTCGATTCTCATTGATAGCAGGCAATGGCCATGTCGAAATTCACTACTCCCATAGCGGTGAGAACAAATGGTCGGCACCGCAATTCGTCGCTTCGCCCTTTATACCAGTGCATGGGATGGCGCCGGGCCTAAACTACGGTCAGCAAGTCTACGAAGGTCTCAAAGCGTTCCGCCACCCAGCCAACGACAAAATAACCATCTTCCGCCCCGACCGTAACGCCAAACGCATGCAGTACTCCGCCGAAGTAGTCTCCATCCCACCCGTTCCAGAGGATTTGTTCATCGAGTGCGTACGGTTAGCAGTCGGTGTAAATGCCGAGTATGTACCACCGCACGACTCCGGCGCCGCGATGTATATCCGACCCATGCTCTTCGGCTCCTCTGCACAGTTGGGACTGAGCCCGCCGGATGGGTACACACTGGCAGTATTTGCTATGCCGACTGGCGTGTACCACGGGGCTAGCGCAGTTGATGCGCTAATTTTGGAGGACTTTGATCGCTGTGCACCGCATGGAACCGGGGCTGCCAAGGTTGGTGGAAACTATGCGCCTGTGTTGCGGCACAGTGACCGGGCACGGCGCGAAGGGTTTGGGATTACCCTTCACTTGGATAGTGCGACTCGCACTGAAGTTGATGAGTTCTCGACTTCTGCTTTCATTGGAGTGAAGCGTGACGGAGATCAGATCACTGTGGTCCAGCCCGATAGCCGGAATGCGATTGACTCGGTTACGGCGGCGTCGGTGTTGGAAATTGCCCGGACGTTGGGGTATCGGGTGGAGAAGAGGCGGGTTGCTTATGAGGAGCTGCGTGAGTTCGATGAGGTTATTGCTGCTGGTACGGCGGCGGCGTTGGTGCCGGTGGGTAGTATTACGATGCAGTCCCGTGGGGATAAGTTCGAGTACCGTTGCGGGGCTCAGAAGGAGGGTGGTGAGGTTTGCATTAAGTTGGTGCAGACGCTTCGTGGTATACAATCTGGAACTGTCGAAGATACCTTGGGTTGGAACTATGAGGTGCAGGCACCGCCGAAGGGATGGACACAGCAAGGGGAGGAGGAGATTGAGCTGAGTGGTGCCAATGTCCCATAAACAGTTAAAGGGCTGGCAGGGGGTCCCCAACTAAAATATGTCTCCAATTTCGGTATTGTTCGTTAAAAATAAATACACATATCGAGTTTCCACAACCCGAACGAGATACATACATATACACATTCTCCTAGGCTATGGTTGGGCCATTCCTCCCTGGATAATGAACCAACACTGTTTAAGAACCGTCCTTTCTTATTCTGGCTTGCGAGATATACTCCCTAAGCTTTGCAGGAATGACCGTCTGCGTGTGCCTGGTAGTATAGTCCCTGTGTCACTCGGTATATATATAGATATAAATGTGTATAACAGTAAAAATATCATTGCTTAATTAAACCATGCCTGATGGAAGAATTGAGGTCGAAAGGCATTTTGACAATGTTAAGCAAGCATGATTCAAGAATAGCCTCTTTCGGTACGGAAGGATTACGGAAGTATCGATTCCGATATACTTCGATAAACTCATTCAGATCCTTCTCATCTGCTTTCAGCTTCAGATCACGTGTAATTATTTTACACAAAGTCTGTGCATCGCCTGGGAGGTAACTGTCACTTATAATAGACATTGACTGAACAAAGTACGGCACAAAGCTCCGCATTGTTTTGCCAAGGTAGGCTCTGTCGTTGAGACTGCAAAGTGCACGGTCACTTCTGCCATATACCATTACTGTTCTGAGAAAACATCAGTGGGAATTATATGGAGGGCGGACTGGAAGGTGAAATATAAAAACAATTCGTACAGGTAAAGAACATCGTCCTGCGATTTTGAGGAAAAGCCGACTTGATCGCTAGATAAGAAGCAGACCCATGTTAGTTATTAGCCTAACCATTAGTTATTTCTAACCATTATATCTAAATAACTTACGTAGGGATTTCTCCCATAATAAGGGTGGGAATGGAAACGTTTTTCAAAAGCGGTTCAGTGAAGTCCCGAGCAGGAACAAACTTATTAGGTTGGCCATCAACGAGAGTACAGACTCCATTGCTGAACGAATACTTCGTAGAGGAATTATCGACGTTATCGCCGTATAATCTACCCGTTTTGTCAGTACTTCCTGTGTACAACATAAAGAACCATGAACCATTTACGTACATGTTGCCTCGTCCAGTGAAAACCACAATTTTTGCATCCACAGTCACCTCATCAGAGAAAGAGCCAATTTCATGGTTCCCATGGATGAAAATATAACGCATTGAACCTTTTCCGCCAGATCTATAAAGAAGCATTTCCGAAGTGGCTTGGAAAATACCCGTGAGGCACAAGTTTATGATGTGAGCACATCGGCTTTATCGCGATGGCAATGAGGCAGCTGTGCCCATTTGTACACAGCGGTGGGGATAATACAGTATGGTGGCATGCTGTTTTGTGTCTCCGATATATGTTGTATATAATGCCCTCAATTCGCTATTAGATCGCAGGATATCCGTACGCGCTTCTTACTGTTTATAAAGCTACCTCTTAATACAAGCCCTTCTAAACATGCTTTCACGTTCAGAATGTATGGTATTACGGACATGCTAGTCACCAATCAATGTGGAGACCGCAACTTACTGGTGGGCCAGAGCCAACCGATCACTATGGTCACGTGAAACATCCAATACCCGGAGTGTCTGACAGCCCTGGTATTCAGCTCAAGGAGAAACACGATCATGCTCAGGGAGCAGGGGCATGATTTACCCTAAGCAGACCCAACTGATAGAGGTTGTTCTCTATGTAGGTACATAGAACCCCTATTTCACGTTACGGCATCGACCATATATATAGATGCCATTGCAAACATTACAAAATACCGGGGCTAGGCTCTGGAGATAGCCCCCCTAATCACCGATAGCTCCAACTATTTACGCGTCGGGATCGGGATGTACAGTCCGTGGATCCACGTGGACCCAATTTTCGATGCAAAACTCAGAGATTTAAAATTGGATTGTTCTAAGGCAGCAATATCCAATGTGTCATCGTTAATACATGTAGATCTTCGCTAGGGATTTCCTGAGGCTGAACGGAGGTGCGGGTAGTAACTCGTGAACATTCGACGGCCACGCAGTATGATATAACCAAACCTCCTTTTTTATATCCCTTTTTTATATCCTTCATGTATTCTTATATAAATATCGATCAGATTGGAATGGTTAAACTAATAATAGATTGCTACCTATACGTACGTATCCGAATACCTAATAAAGTAATATACTTCCGGTCGGTGAAGCGGGGTCCGTTCCTCCGTTATACATACGAAAGCCTCTACCCCGATGAAGCAAATACGGATAACTCCGGTCACTGTGTTGTCCGTCCCCCGATGATGATTTTCATTAAAAGGGTCGGGCTCGCCCGATGCCTGTTCGAAGAGGTGAGACTTTTACGAATTTACACAGACTAGTCCACTCCTCGCTATGGAGAAGGACTACGATGAGCCCGAGTTCGCCCCAATCACAGGGCGAAGTGCAACAGTACTAGAAGAGCGAGAACAACAAACATTGACTCGTATTGCCTCCAGCAAACTCGGCCAACAACTTTCAAGATCTGCTAGCAAGAAAGGTGTCCCTCCCCACCTCGATCCTACCAACCCCCAGTTTGATCATCGCCAATGGGCGCAAATGGTGTTGGACCAGGCCACCGATTCAGGTATTGATATCCCCGACCAAGGCGTGGTCTTCTCCAATCTATGCGTCAGCGGTTCTGGCTCCGCTCTACAATACCAGGAAACCCTCGTTTCCAGTTTGAAAGTGCCCTTCCGAGCTGCGACAAGAGCCTTGACGGGGCGAACCTCACCACCAAGACAAATCCTCCGCAGCTTCGATGGCTTACTCCAGGGAGGAGAACTTCTTCTTGTTCTGGGTCGACCCGGTAGTGGATGTACGACATTCCTGAAGACTATCTGCGGACACCTTGGGGGGTTGACCGTGGAGCCCGAAAGCACACTTCACTACAAAGGAGTCGCATTTGACCATATGATCAAACATCACCGAGGAGAGGTCGCATACAACAAGGAGGTCGACCTACATTTCCCCCACTTGACCGTGGGCCAGACCCTCACATTCGCCGCCCATGCTCGTGCACCCCAACAACGTGTGGAAGGTGTGACCCGTGATGAATACGTTGAGACAATCACTCAGGTGGTCCTGTCCGTCTTTGGATTGTCCCACACCTACAACACCAAGGTGGGCAGCGAGTTTATACGGGGTGTCAGTGGAGGCGAAAGAAAGCGAGTCAGTATTGCCGAGATGTTTCTGGCTCGCTGTCGCATCGGAGCATGGGACAACAGCACCCGTGGCCTAGATGCCGCATCCGCTCTAAAATTTGTGAAATCAATTCGTCTTTCAGCTGATATGGGCCAATCCTGCCATGCTATTGCAGCCTACCAAGCGTCGCAGTCAATGTATGATCTTTTCGACAAGGTGGTCCTTCTATACGAGGGATATCAGATCTACTATGGACCCAGGGAGCGTGCAGTATCCTATTTCCAAGACATGGGCTGGGAGAGACCCGAGCGCCAAGTCAGCGGTGACTTCTTGACTGCTCTCACTAACCCAGCAGAACGCACGGCGCGGCCTGGCATGGAGAGCAAGGTTCCCCGCACTGCGAAGGAGTTTTCCGAGTATTGGAAAAAGAGCCCGGAGTATCAGCTCTTGCACAAGGATATTTCCAACTTCGAAAGTGAATATCCGCCAAATGGAGACGACGCAAAACGGCTCATGGAAAGCCACAAAGACCGGCAAGCCCGCCACACTCGAACTCGCAGCCCGTTCCTGCTTTCCATCCCTATGCAGGTGCGGCTTTGCATGCACAGAGCCTACCAGCGAATGCTCCAAGATCTCCCAACAGCCATGGCACCAGTGATTGTTCAGATAGTTCTATCTCTGATCATTGGATCCATCTTCTACAATACCCCGGACTCGCCCAGTTACTTCTTTCAAAAGGGCGCAGTGATGTACTTCGCTGTGCTTATGAACGCTCTACTTACGATCAACGAAATCCTTCAACTCTATGCTCAGCGCCCTGTTGTCGAAAAGCAAGCTGGATATGCATTTGTGCACCCGTTCACCGAAGCACTAGCCAGCCTTGTCGTTGATCTACCGATCAAGATAATACGAATCTCAATTTTCACAGTTGTCCTCTACTTCATGGCAAACCTGCGCCGCGAAGCGGGAGCTTTCTTCACCCATTACCTTTTCTTGCTCACTGCAGTCCTGGCCATGTCTGGCCTGTTCCGCAGTGTCGGTGCATTGACTAGAACTGCTGGACAGGCTATGGCGATTGCTGGTGTGCTTGTGCTCTGCATTGTCGTTTATACCGGATTTACTTTGCCACAGCCGTACATGCATCCGTGGCTTTCGTGGATCCGGTGGATCAACCCGATCTACTATACGTTTGAAGCACTCGTGGCGAACGAATTCCATGGCCGAACATTTGACTGTTCCTCGTTCATTCCAAGTTATGGAACTGGCACGTCATTTATCTGCTCTACCGTCGGTGCAGTCGCCGGTCAGCGAACTGTATCTGGGGATGCTTTCATCGAGAAGAACTACGAGTACAAGCACTCTCATCTGTGGCGGAACTACGGAATTCTCATCGCCTTTTTCATAGCCCTCAATGCGCTCTACCTGACTGCTACAGAGTACATTACTGATGACAAGTCAAAGGCCGAGGCCTTGGTCTTCCGCCCCGGACATGCACCAAAGTATCTCCAGGACGGCCACAACATCGAGCTTGGAAGAGAGGAGGTCAACAAGCTGGAGCTGCAGAGAACCAGTGACACCATCCGCCTTCCTGAGCAAAAGGACATTCTCTCATGGAACTCTCTCAACTACGACATCCCCGTGAAGGAGGGCACCCGGCGACTCTTGGATAACATCAATGGCTGGGTTAAGCCTGGTAGCCTGACTGCCTTGATGGGTGTTTCTGGAGCCGGAAAGACAACACTTCTTGATGTTCTTGCACAGAGAGTCTCCATTGGTGTTGTCTCTGGTGATATCTTCGTGAACGGAAAGGGTCTTGCGGCGAATTTCCCCCGTCGGACTGGATACGTGCAACAGCAAGATCTTCATCTTGACAGCACCACTGTGAGAGAAGCTTTGCGTTTCAGTGCGATGCTTCGTCAGCCCCAAAGGGTTACCAAGCAGGAGAAATATGAGTACGTGGAACAAGTCATCCAAGTCCTAGGCATGGAAGATTTCGCCGAGGCGGTGGTTGGAAGCCTCGGAGAGGGTCTCAACGTCGAACAAAGGAAGCTGCTTAGTATTGGTGTCGAACTTGCTGCAAAGCCTACCCTGCTTATCTTCCTCGACGAACCTACTAGCGGCCTCGACTCCCAAAGCTCTTGGACTATCTGTCAGTTCCTCAGAAGACTTGCAGACCACGGCCAGGCTGTCCTCGCGACAATCCACCAGCCTAGCGCGCAGTTGTTCCAAACCTTCGATCGTTTGCTCTTCCTTGCCAAGGGAGGAAAAACTGTCTACTTTGGCGATATCGGAAGCCAATCCTCCACTCTTCTGAAATACTTCGAGAACAATGGCGCTCGACCATGTGAGCAACTCGAGAACCCCGCTGAGTACATCCTGGAAATGGTTGCCGGCGATTCTTGCTCAATAGACTGGGTTGAAGCCTGGAACAAGAGTCCAGAGTATGAAGAGGTACATGCTGAGGTCGAACGACTTCATCACGCCCACAAACCGGCTATTCCTCGACCTTCCCTAGACGAGTCTGAGTCTGACGACGACAACTCCGAGTTCGCCATGCCACTCAGTAGCCAGTTGTACTATGTCCTTGGACGAGTCTTCCAACAGTATTACCGTCAGCCAGAATACGTCTACTCCAAGTTCATTTTGGGCATTGTATCTGGTTTATTCATCGGCTTCTCATTCTGGAAAGCAGATAACAGCCAACAAGGCTTCCAAAATGTGCTTTTCAGTATTTTCCTGCTGTGCACAATTTTCAACACTCTTGTCAACCAGATCATGCCCAAATTTGTCGTCCAGCGCTCCCTCTACGAAGTCCGTGAACGCCCATCCCGCATCTACTCCTGGAAAGTTTTCATTATATCCCAAATGTTTGTCGAAATCCCCTTCCAAGTCTGCCTCGGCATCTGCTCCTGGGCCTGCTTCTACTGGTCCGTCTTCGGCGCCGACCAAGACTCCGAGCGCCGCTCCCTGATCATGCTCTTCATCGTCCAATTCTACATATACGCCGCAAGTATGGCACAGCTAGTCGCCTGTGCAATCCCGGAGCCCGCACTCGCAGCTCTGCTCGCCACGCTGATGTTCGGTCTTTCCTTTATCTTCAATGGTGTAATGCAACCACCCGATGATCTCCCCCGCTTCTGGATCTTCATGTACCGCGTCTCGCCATTCACATACTACATCGGCGGTATCGGAGCTACAGCGCTCCATGGCCGCCCGGTGGAGTGTACTGATGCGGAGATGAGTGTCTTTGATCCGCCTGCTGGTCAGACCTGCATCCAGTATATGGAGAAGTTCCTCGCGACTGCACCCGGAACACTTGCTAATTACAATGCTACGTCCAGTTGTGAGTACTGCTCTCTCAGTTCGGCAGATCAGTATCTCGCTGCGAGGAAGATTGAGTGGGGTGATCGCTGGAGAAACTATGGAATCTTCTGGTGCTATTTCATTTTCAATGTCTTTGCTGCTATCTCGCTCTATTACCTATTCCGGGTGCGGAGCTCTAAGGCTAAGACAAAGAAGGCTTAGTGAGTTCAGTTGGTAGAGGGTTGTCAGTATGTTTTGCATTTCACTTGGTCTTCTTTGGTCCCACTATATGAGATGCTTGTTCTTGTACATTTACGTACATTTACTGCATATCTTGATACCTGGCGTGTTTATACATAGGTGCCGATAAAAGGCATTGCCTGGAGTAATTTAATCAAACATCTCATCTTCTTCTTTTGCTTTGTTCATTCGCAACACGTATGACTAGTAGACATCGTTCTTTGTTACTTTTCTTCATGTCTGGAAGTCATATAGAATTTACCCATTCAGCAACAAAAATATTGACTCAACCTTGTTTCTTTTTAGATAAAATACCTCATTGTGGAAAATTCGCAAGTCCTAAGTTCCTTATTTCCTTCTTTCATACCCAATATCTTTGGTTCTTTCTCCTGTTCTGTGAAGTCCAACGGGAGCCATTCATTCCGTATCTCAGATGGTCAATATATATTAGTTATCTCCTCCATGTCCTTCTGAATCCATCACTCCAGCATTAAACAGTTCACAGTTCTACCATTCTCAACCAGATCGCCATCCTTCTAGACTTTGATCAGTCAACCTAGTCAAAATGGACGAGCATTGCGTCCCCCGAACCCTAATCCCCGAGCGTCTCTACCGGGTCCAGCATGACAGATCCTTCACAAAGGACGTGGAGACAGGGCTAGTTGCATCCGACATGAAAACCTTCACCGATGACACAGGTGAATTTGCGGTTGCCGTTGAGTCCCACATAAACGGGATCAAGGAGGAAGATGGAAGCATATTCATCTCGGCTTTCGCCAGCAAGGCTCAGGCCGAAGACTGGATGTGTCGCAAATGGCGTTCGTATAGTGAAGGTGCTCAAATCCTGGAGATTGAAACCAGTCATCTTGGCCACGGGTATGTGTACCGCGCTGGTGAAGTGGCTCACGCTCTCGAGGTGAACGTCTCAGAGACGACGTACGAAGACCTTCACAATGAGTATTTGATCCTGCACATTGTTCCTGCTCGCGCTATCATCGCTCGGCGCGCCCGGATGGTAACGCACGGATTGGAAAACAAGGATTCTACAGGAAACAACAGCTCAAATGCGACGATGACAGAAAGGCAATCACCTGTATCGATGGTCCAACCACCCGGGCAGCCGAGTACATGGGGAGGAGTTGCATTGTCCAAGTCAGTACGTCAAATCCGGGGGTGAATCTGAATATTTCCACTCTCCGCCTGGATCGGTCTCTTAAATGCCCGTTCGCAAGGAGCCTTCTCTTCCGGCTCGCCATCTATGAGTTAAGTGGCTCTACGTCCCAGTCACCAAACTCTGAGGTGACTCATAGAAGGTCGTTAGTTTCCTTTTCAAGAGTTGTATTTCGGTGTTATCTTTAATCTGCTCTACATTTAGTTTGTATTGTTCTGGTTCTTTAAATCCCAGATAGACTGAATTCACAGATCAAGACATATCTTATAGTTTATCATTTCATTGCATTTAACTTCAAAAACAGAGAAATCTAACTTGTGATCACGAAATTTGAGTATGTAATCTAACATATCTTGCACTCAAGGCATTGGAAAGTATGAGGTTTACCCACAGGCTTTATGGGAGCATATGAGAGAGCGAGGAGAAATATGTTGTGCTTCAAGGTGTCGCATTACAGACTCTTTCGTGGAAAGGAGCTGCTCCCAATTTCTCCTTTCACAGGTGAAAGAATATGCGGCACTGGACGAGAGGGTGCTGAATCGACACTCTCTAATCAGGGTCTAATTAAACCTTCTTGACAAGCACCCCTTGAATCCGAGGCAGCAAACTAAACGGTTCTTCCGGTTCTTCGATCTCGTGTGGATTTTCCCACTCTCCGCTGTTGAGAATGTCCGCCAACACATTCCGGGTCAAATCACATCCGACAAATGTACTCCAGACAGGATTCCAGCAAGCTAAGATTTCTTCACGTTAGCCAGTCACCCAGAAGAGAAGAAAAGAAGAACGGTTGGCAAAAGATGGACATGCCTTGTGCCACACTTGTCAAGCGGTTTCGACTCCATCCGTGTTCCCAGAATATAAACTTGCCACCAGGTTTGAGCAGCTTCCACACCTCCTTCATCACGTTCTTTGGATCCTTTACAGCACATAGGACCTGGATGCATAGCACGGCGTCCAAGCTCCCCTCCGTGATTCCCTCTTCCCTCAGCACATCGCTATCTTCAACGCCACACACTATCACCTTATATTTATCCCGCAGGTTATTCTTGTCCAATTTGGCATTTATGTCGTCTTCAAAGTGGGGATTAGGTTCAATGCCGTAGACATGTTTGATAAGAGAGGTATCATAACGATGAATCTGATTGCCTGGCCCAGGGCCCAGTTCGAGAACAACGCCACCAGCGGCTTGTACGAGCGAGGGAACAATGGTTGTGTCTTCGTAAGCGATAAAACCGTCAGCTGCGTATTATGGTTAGTCTACTACGTATACGAGTTAAGTGGAGGGGTATGGTGAGTGGGTTAGGTTACAGGCTATACTGAGCAACTTGGCTGAAGCGGCATCTCGAATTTGTCCTGGGCGGCCAAGTGCCGCGAGACCGTCTCGACGAATTGCTTGTGTCAAAGCTTCCCAGTGGACTGTAGGGGAGGAGTGATTAGTAGGGTTGTGGAAATTGGCGGGGTAACAAGGACTTACGACAAATAGACAACCAGATCAGGCCCCATGGACGGAGAATGGAAGCAAGACGGCCAGGTTTGGAAGCCATGGCTATCTACCCGAGACGGTTATAAATGATGTCGAATGTCTTTGAAAAAGAAAATGCCCAAAGGCTAAAGGGAGCGGCCAAGATGTTAGAATAGGGAGGAAATACGTATTGGGGAGAAAATGGAAGTTGGATGTTGGGCGAGTCGAATGTTATAGTCACCGCATTGCCCTAGTATCAATCAATACTAGTTTAGCTCTAGTCTACGGCTTAGGGCTCATGTAGTGTACGGGGGCCGAAAGTATCCACAGTGGACGGCGTCGAATAGATAGACAGGCTTGCACCTCGATGACCTGCTAATCAGGGCTTATGGCGTAATCTCACCCTATTACAGAGATAGTGAGCTTAGCGAAAAAGCCCAAATGGAGTGGAACTACGCTTAGCTTTGGGGCTAAGTGTGATCTCCTATGAAAATCCTTATCGAGGTCGGGGCAACGTCCGACCTAGAAGGTTGAAAACGTTCATTCTCAACATGTACCTGAAGACGAAAGACCATTCTTTAAAAAACAGTTTAATCCTGAGAAGGTACAATATGCTTCAGAGCAACGATCGAGCCCATGTGTGAACCGAGTTTCCTAAGTACTTTGTGTTGCTTTTCGGCGCGAGTGATACATAAAGTATAAAGTAAGGGATGAGTGAAACGCATTCGAAATAAGATACATCCGTAAATTTAAGGGCAACAAACATATATTGAACATAAAGAGGGAGAAGGAAACTTCGACTCGAACCGGCCTCTTGATATCAATTAGTGCTCACATATGCAAAGTTTTACGAAGCAAGACACCTCCGGTCAATTTTCCGCTCGTTCAGTGGGTAAAACAATTTGATTGGCAGTTTGAGATGATGCAGAGAAGGGATGCCAGAAAAATCGTGGTTAGTATGTCAGAAATCCGGAAGTTGACGTGAGGCACATCTCGGAATTGCCCCAGATACGGCGCAAAGATAGACATTTCTATGACCGAGAAAATATAAATTGGTTAGGCCAAGGAATACTACGTTGCAGGAATGACAGGCTTTATATATATTCTCCGCAAACAAGGTAGAAATATATGTTAATACAAAGTACATCCCAGCAAGCTATATAACAAATACATTATAGAATTGGTGAGAGACAGATGTTAGATAGATAATCAGATGTCAGATAACGACTGTACTCTGTGGAGTTGTGTCTGGGGAAGGTAATCTGGGGTAGATCATCTGCCTTTCGCGCCTAGAAAGGCCCGAGCTGTCAACATCACCACGTGGGAACTTTAAAAAAAAAGCGGAGATTAGCAGATGATCTTTATTATTTACAGGGTAACGTTGTACACTATGCAGATACAGTAACATACTGGAGGAATGTGGTAGATGTCTTATCCTAGGCCGTATGCGGCGATTCTTTGATTCCCCAATAAGCGAAGCCCAGGAAAATGACTTCTGATTTAACGGAATCCGTCTAATCGCTCTAATTTGACTTTTGACCAATCCAAGTTGAGATTAGCGAGGCCAAGCCGTTAAAGGATCCATGGCACTGGAAATCTTATTGGCCCCTCGTATTAGCGCAGGCTGACCCTCACTTTCATTCATCTCCTCCACATCTTGACTTATAAAACCCGCTTGTTCTCTGTGCCGAAGCTGGACATTATCTAGTATGGCGACTAACGCGACCGCCACGGCTACGGCCAACAGCACTAACGTAGTCAGTCCGCAGGGTGGCATCCTCGAAGGTGGCAACCCAACCGATTATGACTCTAAGAACCCACTGGTGTTGTTTATTATCCAGGTAGCTATGTCGCCATCCCAAACAACGGTGATTTGACTGACAAACAGGCCGTCATAATTATCGTGCTATGTCGCCTGATCCACTGGCCCCTCTCGAAGCTTCGACAGCCCCGAGTCATCGCTGAGGTTATCGGGGGAATTGTTCTGGGCCCATCGGTGATGGGTCGCATCCCCGGATTTACCGACGCCATTTTCCCGACCGCCAGCATCCCTAGCCTCAATGTAGTCGCCAATCTGGGCCTGGTACTCTTCCTATTCTTGGTCGGTCTGGAGACCGACCTCCGCTTCCTGATCAGTAATTGGCGGGTCGCTTTGAGCGTGTCTGCTGCGGGCATGATCTTGCCATTCGGGTTGGGCTGTGCCATCTCGTATGGTCTCTATCACTCGTTCCACGATGACCCTGGTACCAAGCCCATCGCCTTCGGTACCTATCTCCTGTTCATCGGTATCGCCATGGCCATCACGGCCTTCCCCGTGCTGTGCCGTATCCTCACGGAGCTGAAGCTGCTCTCAACCCGGGTCGGTGTTATTGTGCTGTCCGCCGGTGTTGGTAATGATGTGGTGGGCTGGATCCTGCTTGCACTGTGTGTCGCTCTTGTCAACGCGGGCAGTGGCATCACGGCTCTGTGGGTGCTGTTAGTCTGCGTGGCCTACATGTTATTTTTGACTTTTGCTTTCCGCCCGCTGTTCTTGCGCTTCCTCGAGAAAACGGGTAGCCTGCAAAAAGGGCCCAGTCAATCGGTGGTCGCCCTCACATTACTCATTGCTCTGGCTTCAGCCTTCTTCACTCAGGTTATCGGTGTTCACGCCATTTTTGGAGGCTTTGTTATTGGCTTGATCTGCCCCCACGAAGGCGGGTTTGCCATCAAGATTACCGAGAAAGTTGAGGACTTGGTCGCTGTCATTTTCCTGCCACTTTATTTCACCCTGTCCGGTCTGAGTACCAACCTGGGCCTCCTTGACTCTGGAATCGTCTGGGGTTATGTGGTTGGTGTAATTGCCATCGCGTTCATTGCGAAGGTCACCGGAGGTGCTGTTGCGTCGCGGCTCTGTGGCCTACTATGGCGTGAAAGCTTTTCGATCGGTGTGTTGATGAGTTGCAAGGGTTTGGTGGAATTAATTGTGCTGGTAAGTACCGACGCCAGACGAAGTTCCCCGATGGTGAATGTAAGCTAATTCATTTATTACAGAACATTGGCCTCCAAGCCAAGATTTTGAGCACTCGCACGTTTACAATTTTCGTTGTGATGGCCTTGGTCACTACATTCCTTACTACTCCCTTGACTACCCTGCTATATCCAACATGGTACCAGGTCAAGGTCGAGAGATGGAGACGCGGGGAAATTGACTGGGAAGGCAACCCTGTCCAGCACGATAACCGCAATGACAGCGTCGCCATTGCCAAGGACCAGTTGAAGACCGTCCCAGTACGCAAGCTCCTTGTCTATCTTCGTCTCGATGGTCTTTCAGGTGTCTGTACTGTAGCCGCCCTCCTCAGTCCAAAGCGACCTGCATCCGTGTCATCACGCATTCATCCAGCAAAGATACCAAAGCAAACCGAGGAAAATGTTGAAGATCCTATTACCTTAGAAGAGGATGACAACACGGCACTCAAGGTGCACGGTGTAAGGCTAATGGAATTGACCGACCGTGATTCCAGTGTCATGAAGGTTGCTGCTGCGGGTGAACATGCGCTGTGGGATCCGGTGGTCAACACCTTCCGCGCTTTCGGAGACTGGCACGATCTCTCGCTCATGGCCGGTGTATCAGTTGTTCCCGAGCACTCTTACGCAGATACTGTCATTGGAATGGCGCAACAGGATACCGCAGATATGCTCCTTCTCCCCTGGAGCGAGACCGGAACACTGGCCGACCACCACAACGCGCTAGAGATCGATGACACGAATCGTTTCTCCAACGGCGCCTACACAAGCTTCGTTTCTGACATCCTAGAGCGGGTCCCCGGCCATGTCGGCATCCTAATCGAATATAGTTCGGTCTCGGCCTCATCAAAGCGACCTGTGGTCTCCCGCAGCGCTAGCGGTATGAGCCTCCAGGGCTCCCTCTTCGCCCGCCAGCCAACCGGCAGCCGCTCCCACCATATTGTCCTTCCATTCTTTGGCGGCGATGATGACCGCTTCGCTCTTCGGCTGGTCATGCAGCTCGCTCAGAATGACCAGGTCACTGCGACTGTTATTCAAATTGGCGGACTGGGCAGTGATGGGAGCAAAACAGGGGTGTCGACTGCAGTCTCTGCCTCGACCTCAAGTGCGGTCCCCGCGTCCAGCTCTCAATCCGACATGGTCTTCTTCGAGACACTCCGTGATTCAGTGCCAGAGGAACTCCAAGAGCGCGTCGTCTTCCACCAACCAGCTGCGAACGAGACCATCACCGATGCAGTTCAAATGGCTGTTGTTTCTGTGCGAGAAGAACTTAACCAGACATCCAACAAGGCGAACAATATTGTCATCGTTGGTCGTCGTAGTATTTCTTCTGAGATTGAGCTGGGTCTTTCGGACGACGGCATTGGCTATGATACCCGCCGGGCTCTGGGAGCTGTCGGTACTGCAATGGTTCAGCCCGAGAGTAAGATTTATGGCAGTGTATTGGTGCTGCAGGCTGGTACTGACACTGGGTTGGCTGATTACTATCGCTGAACATACTTTGAGATGTCGTTTGGGGCCACTGTGAATAATTTTGATGCATATTTGGGAGAGTTAATTTTCTCGTATGAACATTTTGGAACATCCCATACATATATAAAGCAATCAAGATTATCAACACATACGTTGCCAGTATGTGCCGGATTTTAGGCCATTGCGATCTTTTCCAGGGTGCCGCTTTATGAGGCACCAGGCTATCTGACAACACAGGGTGATTACTCAGTGACCGCGCTGTCTACAATGCCTTCGAGCATGCCAGTATGGGAATCATAACCGGAAACTGTGTGATCTAAACTACGTGCGTAGCTCCAAAGAGAATCTATTGATGCAGCTGCCATGCTGTGGACCTTGAACTCCGATCTTATCCCCCAGGAGCAGAAGAAACAAGCGAGCGGGAAAAGTGGACTTTGTAACTAGTTAACATTTTATGAGACATGTCATAAAATTGAATGTCTTTGACAAGTCGACCGTGGAAAGGATAGTTCACGGCATCAACAGGATAAGTAAACGATATCATTTAAATGAGCTTTAGGTATGTCTTATCTCCCTTTTCTCTTCCAGCTTTGATCTATTTTGAACGAGCGACATGGCTTCTATAGAGACTTTTTACAGCAAACTCTGTACAAAATTAGAAATGATTGATTTGCGCTAAGGGCTTGACAGTGGTACCAGGAAAGAGTTATTCGGTGTGCTTCGGTCAAGCCGAGTTCAAAAATGGCTGGATATGATAAACAGAAAACATAAAAAAAGGGTATAAAACAAACAACCTGCCCTACCATTCATGCCTTTGATTTCAGCTAGGAGGATAGTTAACTTCGACCTAAGCGTGAAAGAAACCAACCAAGGCAGGCTGTCATGGATTCTGAAGAACACGAGATGAAGTAGATCTTGAATGACCGGAGCTCCTCCTTTCCCAGAACCACGGCAGACTGTACTGTCGATCCTCCCGCATCGGCGACTCCAAATCCACCGGCCGATCCCTATCCGACGGCAACGAGCTGGTCTCATTGATCTCCTGCCCACTGGAGTGCATATGCTGACTATCCGTGCCACCGCGCGCAATCACGATCAGCTTACCAAGGATAGCATATTCGAGCTTCAACTTCATACTGTAAGCGACAGGTTTGAACATAACCTGCACGGCATAATAGCCGACATATTCGATGGCGACGACTGAGACATCCAAGACCAGAATGAGGATATTGATAACCAGCAACTGGTTCAGAATCCCCTGTGGACGACCTTCAGGTCTGAGGCGAAGCAATTTGACCGTTTCCCAGACGTAGATGGTGGAAATGATCAATTCCTGCACACAGAACCAGACCAACTGAACACGCTCCATGATATCGTACGCGCGGGCCCATTGACTCTCCGGGTGCGCAACGGTCCCGTACAAAAATACCGTAGTCGGGACATGGAGTATCACAGCATCGATACAGATCATCCACAACACACCGCGCAGTAGCTTCCTATTCTGTAGCACGAGATGCAGCCGTGACCACAGTACAAAGGACTGGCCGGTGATCATACCGTACCAGCCAAGCACGACGAAGGTCACGCATAGCCATGGCGTAACGCCCGTCGGGAAGAAGAGAAGGACGAAGCCGAGACAGTACGGGATGATGCAGATGGAGGCGATGAGTAGACTCCAGAAGTAGTATCCGTTCCAGCGTTTAAAGGAGAAGAAACAGAGGATGATGAGCTCGATGGCGTTGTACCAGGCTAGCGCGGCAAAGGCGGCGAATATGCCAGCGCGGGTTATATCGGATGCGCCGTAGCTGTGCATAAAGGAGGTTGCAACGCTGCTGGCGTTTTCGGTGGCCATTGACGGTAGAAGGACATTGCTGGTTGTGCTCTGGGGTAGTAGATTGATGGATATAGACAGGAGTGGGTTGATGATAGGAAGGGTTTTGGTAAGGAAGAAATTAATCAATTTCTGCAGTGCCGAGTTGGATGTTTTAAAGTTCGCTCAAGATCTGCGCCTGGGGAAGTGGCGGGAAGAGCTTAGACGATATCGGCGAACAGAGCGTATAGCGCACCTGATTCCATGACAGCTCGGGTTTGTGAGGGAAAGTGAAAATCGACTGGTCGAGAGAGTCGGGGAAGTTTCCGGGTCACGGATTCAAGTTCGGGATATTGGTAACCCTGGAACTCCAGATGGGATAGTCATCAAATAAGTATGAGTTCAACTCCCTTTTATTCCCCTGATCTTCTTATTGAGTGGATTTCTGTTTTCGGTTGTCGATCCCCCTTGCTTCGATGGGGTATTTGAGAAATATACTATCCGAGGGGGAGAGTAGATGATAAGGTGTGTCTACCAAGAGACAAGGTATGTGCTCTCAGGATAAAAGCGATATAAGTATCCATCTTTGAATTCCACGTATTTCCCTTGGAAATACCAAGGGAAATAATCGGACTCGGAATACGAGGTTGTTCACATCTGGCACCTGATTGGTCCCAAGCTGAACGGCAGATCTGCCACACTATGTAGGCCAAGCTTGCTTATTGGCAAGAAACCGGAGAGGCACTAATTAAACTGCCCAGGTGGTATCACTGACATACTTTATTACCACTCTGTAGCATCACTGGCGTTATTGACATGCCAGATAAAAAATATAAAAAAAAGAGCATCAAAGCAGGTCCAGATCACTCGCGGACGTTGACAGGAACGCGATCGCGACCAGAGATCGGACTCTGACGTCACCTAATCTGAATCCGATCTCGATCTCCCCGGATCGAATGTTGGAGGATTTCCTTTTAATTCCCCCTTTCCCTGTTCTTCTCAGTAATGCATAATCTCCTTCTGTGCTTTTATCGATCAATCCCACGCGTGTCTTCTTCCAACCAATTGCAAGCCCAACTTCGCAGCTTATCAACTATGCCACCCAAGAGGAAGGCCACCGCACCGGCAGCTGAACAGCCTAATGGCTCACCCCCTAGTAAAAAGGGCCGTCCCGACTTGAACCAACCTCATCCAAACGCGAAGCAAACTGAAGAGTTCGGCATAGTCCTACGCCAATTCTATCCACCGGAGATGAGCAACGAGCGGTGCCAAGCATACACCGATGGCGAGCTGGAACGCCCAATTGAAACACTACAGAAAGCTTGCCGGGAAACCGCCGAGAAGCGCCGGTCAGTCAGCGTGGGTAGTGCTGTGATACATTGGTTCAAGAGCGATCTGCGGCTGCATGACAACAGGGCATTGCACGCGGCCTACCAATTTGCGAAAGAGAACCAGGTGCCGTTGATCGGTCTTTACATCGTCTCGCCTGAAGATTGGTCTGCCCATTTGACTAGCCCCGCCCGAGTGGACTTCACCCTGCGCACTCTCAAGCGATTGCAACAGGACCTGGGGGAACTAGATATCCCTCTGCATATGGAAACACAGGAGAAACGGAAGTCGATCTCGAACCGGGTTGTGGAATTGTGTCAACAGTGGGGTGTGAAGAACCTATATGCAAATCTTGAGTATGAGGTAGACGAACTACGGCGCGAAGCCAGGCTTGTTAGACTCTGCGCAGAGAGCGATATTAATTTCACCCCCATTCATGATACATGCGTGGTCACTCCGGGGGCGCTGGCTAGCCAGCAAGGGAAACAATATTCTGTTTATACTCCATGGTATCGCTCTTGGTTGGCCTTTCTGAAAGAGAACCCGGATTACCTCGAGGTCTCTGAGGAACCCGGGTCAAATCCAGGGAATTCGCGCGAACAATTCAAGGATCTGTTTGATTGCAAGGTGCCAGCCGCTCCTAAAACCCACACACTGTCGGACGAAGATCAGAAACGCTTCGAGGGGCTTTACCCAGCTGGAGAGCATGAAGCTCTCCAGCGATTGGACAGCTTCCTCGAGGAGAAAGGTAAGAAGTATGAGGAGTTGCGGAGCATGTTGTCTGGTGAGAATACTTCGGTGTTGAGTCCTTACTTTGCATGCGGAGCCCTCAGCGCAAGGACTGCTGTCGTGACAGCGAAGAGAACCAACAAAGGCCATCTTGATCGATATGACCCTGGATACATGACTTGGATCAGCGAGTTGGCCTGGCGTGACTTTTACAAGCATGTCCTGGTAAACTGGCCCTTCATCTGGCAAGTTTTCGTCCTTTCCTACAACGGGTGTCCCTTTCTAATGCATGGTCCTCTTGTAGTATGAACAAGTGCTTTAAACCCGAGCATACCAACATTGAATGGGAGTACGATAAGGACCAATTTCAAGCGTGGTGCGAGGGCAAGACAGGCTTCCCGATCGTTGACGCAGCAATGCGCCAGCTCCGTCACTGCGCGTGGATGCACAATCGCACTCGCATGGTTGTCTCATCGTTCCTTACCAAGGACTTGATGCTAGATTGGCGCCGCGGCGAGCGCTACTTCATGGAGAATCTAATTGATGGCGATTTCGCGTCTAATCATGGCGGGTGGGGATTTGGGTCTAGTACTGGGGTAGATCCGCAGCCATATTTCCGCATCTTCAATCCTCTTCGCCAGAGTGAGCGATTTGACCCGGAGGGGGAGTATATTCGCCACTGGGTGCCGGAACTGCGCGAGGTGTCTGGCAAAGCCATCCACGAACCTTATGCGAAAGGGGCGGCAGCTATTGCGCAGAAGAATGGTTACCCCAAGCCCATTGTGGACCATGCAGAGAGTCGAGATCGAGCGTTGGAGCGGTTTAAGAGTGCACTTCAGAAATAAGGAATGTAAATGTTGAGACTTGTGATTTATTGGTGTGGTTAGTCTTGCCGTTTCCAGATTAGCGCCCTAATAAGGGACTATGATAATATTCTAGTCAATGATGATAGATCTTTGAACGCTAGGAAAGAAGCCCAACGACGATTTTTCCGCACCCTTGAGGACTCTAGAGCTCTTTCTCCTGGGGGTGGAATCAATAAGCCCGTGTGGACTGCCAGATTTGAAAGACGGTCCCCTGTTCCTGCAGTTGAAGTCGACACGTATGAAGTTAAATTCAGTGGCCCTGTTGTTGATGAACTCACAGAACATCAACTTCTATTGCTATGTCCCGAATCTCTAGCATATGCACTGAAACACAAGCAATGGAGTGAGCCTCATTGAATGTATCCGATAACAAGTTCCTTCTAACTCCTGTCTACAGTCCTGATCTCATTCGATCACGTTCAAGAATCCGTTGTTTCATAGGGTTAAATTCAAGAGTGAAGATTTGTTTTATAGATATAGGGAGGCACCTGGGCAGGACGAGAGGATGACTAATAGTACTGAATGGGTGCAGAATAAGGGGATCAAGCGGCGACTCGCTATCTAACATTAATAGAGGCTGTCATTTTCGTCGATTTTCACAGGTTCCTTTGTTATCGTAAATAATAATGAAGCACATCATGGTCAGTGTTGATCAGATGAGATGTCCTTCTGTCCAAAGTCAAATTCAAAAGTTGGAGAAATTGCACGCCAAGTGGAATTGCGGGTGAGACATTAGTAGTGCCTTTTTCCCCGCAACATTCTGCTGTTCTCTTCGGCTTCTTTTTATTTTTACACTGGATCTCGCCAATGACGCCCCGAAATGGAGTCCCAGGGTGATCAGCCATCTCCGGGTCCCGACTCGCTCGAGGTCGAGGTTGAGCTAGCAAACGGCAAGCGACGATGGCGCCGAAACAGAGTCGCCTGCGACTCCTGCCATACTCGCCGTGTACGATGCGACCGTGCTTTCCCCTGCTCGAGATGTCTGCGCGGTGATATAAGCTGCCAATTTACCCGCGAGCGCCGGAAACGAGGACGCATTGCGAGATCCAAGCCGAAAAATGGAGGTGCGAATGCCGAGGATGAGGCAGCGCAGGACCCCACCGAGGGGAAGCAGGTCGATGGGGAATACAACCGAGAGTCGCAGTCGCAGCAGGTGCTGTCGCCGGTTAACAATAATTCTCCTGCATCGACCTTCCAGCAGCGATCGCCGGCAACAAATGAGATCAGCGCCGCCTCGGCGCCCAGCGTTGACGGCCTTCGGTCTGTGCCGGATCGTCCACAGCCACAGCGGGCAGGGCCTGCCGCGAATATCACAGAGGAATGGCTGTCAGCGGCGCATCTATCGCCAGACTCGTATGATCTGCTTGCAGGCACAGGCGGTAGCGACGCGCCTCTGCCCCGGTTGATGGACATTTGGAATCCAGTTGATTTCGCTGGCCACCATCCGGTCCAGCGTGCTCCTCCCATACCGTCTGTGTCGGGGGCGAACTTTCCGAGGCAGAGACAGCAATCAACCACCCGGTCCCCATTGAAGTATCCTGTCTTGGAACCTCTCATGCCTTTTCTCGAATCGAATCTCCCGCGGCGACTAGTGTGCGATCTGCTTGAATTGTACTTTACCAGTGCTTTCTCAACCCATATGCATCCTGTGTGCCATCATATTCATTGCTATGTCCTTCGAAAGTCCTCTTTTCTAAGTACGGACCGGCCTCGGCCCACTAGTCCTGCATTGCTGGCAAGTATGCTTTGGGTGGCTGCTGTGGATGATCGGGCCTTCTCTTTATCCATCTCACCATTACAGCGAAGGAAGATATGCCAATTCCTCTGTGCGTTGATTATTCGCTTACTGCGACCTTTGATACATGTCTCGTTCAAAGACCAAGATCCATCGCCCGCCGAAAACGCGACCGCTCACGAATTTTCAGCCGGCGCCCACCACCCATTCGAAGGAGTCGGTGATGATAAAGGGCTAGTAGGACCTGCTGGGTCTTTAGATGATGTCATTACATATATTCATGTGGCCTCGATTATCTCGTCTAGTGAACAAAAGGCTGCAAGTATGAGATGGTTCGTTGTACCCCTGTTCCTATCCCCTGTCCACTCCACTAATTTTACTCT